CATGACCACTCTACTTTATTTTTTATAATATATTGACGAATTATAGTTGTATATATTTATGTGGTATAAAGTGATGTTACAATCTTCAAATGCAATGTGGAATGATTAAATCAACCTGATTAACTTATCCGTTACTTCAAAGATTCACTACTTTTTCTGATGGGAACATTCAAGATTTACTCTCTTAGCAGCATTGAAATGTAGAGTACTGAATTATTAGATATATTCAACATGCAGTGCAATAAATCTGAGAAAAAACAAAACAAAACTTATTTTCCCTATCTAATTGAGGCTTGGTATCCTTTGATTATTATCTCTTCATCCCCCCCGCCCCCAACCTCTGGTAACCACCATTCTACTCTCTGCTATTAGTGATCAACATTCTTAGATTTCACATATGATTGAGATAATGTGGTATTTGTCTTTCTGTGCCTGGTGTATTTCACTTAACATGATATCCTCCAGGTTCAACCATGTTGTCACAGACCACAGAATTTTATTCTTTTTAATGGCTGAATAGTATTTGATTGTGTATGTATACCACATTTTCTCTATCCATTCACCTGTTGATGGACACTTAGGTTGACCCCATTATTTGGCTATTGTGAATTGTGTTGCAATGAACATGGGCATGCAGACATCTCTTCAACATACTGATTTCAAAACTTTTGGGTAAATACCCATAAGTGAGATGGCTGGATCATAAAGTAATTCCACTTTTTAATTTTAAGAGAAACTTCCATAGAACTTTCCTTAATGGTTGCACTAATTTATATTCCCACCAGCAGTGTACAAGTGTTCCCTTTTCTCTACATCATCACCAACACTTCTTGTTTATCTTCTTGATAATAGACAATCTAACAAAAGATAATACCTCATTGTGGTTTTAATTTGTATTTCATATATCTGTTAGCCATTCATATGTCTTCTTGATGTCAGTGTGTGGGGTATTTGATATTAGCTTTTTGTTCATGTAATTGTTTCTTGAATACATTTCTTGAACAACTCCCCTCTGTCCTGCTCTGTGCTAGGCTCAGATTTATCCCACTCACTGTAAAAGCGAGAGTTGGAGACTGCTGGTAAAGACAGGTGTGGCAATTTTAGTACTAATATTACTGTGTTTCACTTTTAATTGTAACAAAATTGATAGTCTAAGTCTGAAGTTTATTTTTTTTAAAGA